TAGTAATATTATATAATTAGTAATATATTATTAGATTTATAATTATTTTATAATTAACATTCATATTAATGTGTGTAATATTTTAATATATTATTGTAATTTTGTTATTACCATTTAAAACTTTTTATATATTTTTATATTTCAGCAGCCATTTCTCAAGTCTTCAGTGTCACATGATCCTTCAGAAATCATTCTAATATGCTGATTTGGTGCTTAAGAAACATTTTTTTCTTCTTATAAATATTTAAAACAGTTACAGATGTGCTGCTTAATATTTTTGTGGAAACCTTTTTTCAGGATTCTTTGTGTGGAACATTCAAAACAACAGCTTATATTTAAAATATACATCTTTTGTAAAATTATTCATGTCTTTACTGTCACTTTTTTTATCAGTTTAATGCATCCTTGCTGAATAAAATTATTAAATTCTCAAACAAAAATCAAAATATATTTTAGTAAGGACCATTGCTTTTACATCTGACTAAATAGAACTTTTCTACCTCACATTATTCAGGATTGTCTTTGCAAATTTAAGGCCAGGCACAAATATATTCTGGCTAATGCAGAAAAACACAATGTACTGTGATTGCCTGTGAGAATAGCATTGTACAAAAATCCCAGAACTCCCTGCACATTTATCCAAGAGAACAGTTAGCATTAAACATGTGCACTACAGTAATCAACCATAATCAAAACAAACAGAAAAAGCACTGTTCTGGAAACAGCATGAAGAGCAATCCAGCACACATTGCCGTCTGGGGACACAATCATATCATATCCACATGTAACACAGCAGAGGAAAGTGCCTTTATTAACCAGACCTTTTGAACATGCCTGAGTGGTGCTGTAGCTGCCCCGTGCCTCATTCAAGACTTTTATCAATCTGCCGGGAAAAGAAAGTATGATTGTCTGTTTACCTGAAAAGTCTTTGGAGAGCAGAACTACTGAGCCAGGCTGAACAAGTTAGCAATGAATAGCAATGGTATGTTACAAATACACAACTAACTTCTGGATGGGAATAGAACAAGCATACAGGAATTCATTGTTAATGCGGTGGAAAGGTAACAAATGGAAATAATGTGGATTGGGAGGGATTCTGTGTGCTCTTCCTTATTTTATCGACGAGGCTGTGTAACTCAAATCGATTGAACGGTAGACATTGTTAGACCTTATTAAGAAAGGCATTGGCCCTACTGTGTTTCATCTCAGCCCCCCCCCCCCCA